TGTGTCCCATTTATGCGCTACCCAAATTCAAGGCACTCGCGGTCCGCAGATAACCACCGAAGAAGAGGACAGAGATATTTGAGACGACGTTATCGTACATGATCCCGAATCAATTAGACCAGTTGGCCGTGGCACATACGTTTTTGCGTGGCCATCGCCGCAGGATCATGCAGTGAGCACTCGTTACAGTAAGTTAAACGGTGGCGTCTATGATATTCTATAAATAACTCACGCGCTTTCTCAAAGGTTTTGGCTTCGTTTGGTTTCAATTGGTTTCAATAAATGGAGATACCGTTGGAAAGTGGATGAGTCTGCCTGACTGAAAAAAAGGTAGAAAAGCAAGGAGAAGCTTAACCAGACGCAAGTGCATTTTGCTACCCCACACTGGGGGAGGAATATTAGTGCGAAAAGAAAGAAAGAAGTAAAGATAAGTATTGACAGAATCACGTGCTCTCTTATGGCAGCAGAAGAAGTTTTGTGGGTGGTCGCAAAGATCCGTTGCCTTTAGACATTTCAAGAGCACTTTCGGGGCCTTCGCATGTGGAATTCACATTAGTATGTACAGGGTGAGGGGTATCAGGTGCACGACATAGTGTGCGCGCTCGTAAAGTGTATGTACGAACTTCCTCAAAAGTTCGTGCAAGGGCTCTATGATTAAAGGGAAACTCAACAACTTTGCCACCGAGATATTCGGCCGTACTGAAATATTGCTGAAATAGGCAGACGCAATTTTCATTTCACGCAAAAACAAGCGGGAAATGACGAATTTAATGCTTCCCCACAAACAGCCGCATCTACCGGTCGCGCCGTGAGCTGGATGAGGTGTAGTTTAGTGACGTTACGTTGAAATACATCACGTAGCCAAAACGATGATGCTCACCAGTTGGAATGTTTGAAACTTAACATAGTGAATGTGACCTACTCACGGCAGACAGAACTTATTATGAGCGAAAAGCTTTACCAATTCAACCCCAGATATTTTTTTTTAGTGAGACCTAGAATGCTTTCAATGGGCAAAACGGTGAAAAATAGTCTTATAAGCTCCCCACTCATATAATACTGAAGGTAGTAGGAGTAGTAATTAGCAATAGCGCAACCTGATTTGTAATGTATCAGACTAAAGTTACTGGGTTTCGCGGAACGTTATACCCCCCCCCCCCACCCCCTTTTTTTCTTTTTGTTAAATAAACAAATAACGCACTCACACGCACGCGCGCGCGCGCGCGAGAGAGAGAGATAGAGAGAGAGAGAGAGACCAATCTGTTTTTGCTGGAAGCCTCTTAGCAGAGGTTTCAATGTGTGCGAGAATATGCGAGGCCGATGTAATTAGATTTACGCGTACGTTAAAGAGCCACAGGTAGTCAAAATATCCGGAGCTCTCCCTCCACTACAGCAGCTCAAATAATCATATTGTGGTTTCTTCTTCTTCTTCTTCTTCTTCTTCTTCTTCTTCTTCTTCTTCTTCTTCTTCTTCTTCTTCTTCTTCTTCTTCTTCTTCTTCTTCTTCTTCTTCTTCTTCTTCTTCTTCTTCTTCTTCTATTATTATTATTATTATTATTATTATTATTATTATTATTATTATTATTATTATTATTATTATTATTATTACCTCAGCATGTGTTACGGGCTTCTCATGTACTGAAAAACGCATTCTCTGCTCGCGTAACAAAAGTGACGCACAAGTACGATACAAAGACGTTTGTTTTTACCTAGTGCATGACCTAGCGTGTAGATGCGGTGATTACTCGGTGAAAGCTTCGGGGATGTTGTTGGGTTTATCACCGACATTCTACACTGCAGCGCTTGCCCTGATAAAGATGGTACACATTTCGGACGACCTCCTTTTGCCATAAACAAGTTCTCCCTCTTTATCTCTAATTTCAGTGTACGCATAGTTTGGACTTTTCTTCTTTTTCTTTGCCATGTGGGCGAAAGTGTTGCCATAAGAACGGTGCTTCGCCCCCACTTCGTACCAAATATCATTCGCGCGTTGCTTCATCGGCTAGCTGGAGTTGACGACATCTCGCGGCCCGCGAATGAAAGAGCTACACAAAAGATCTTCACCGCAAAGCCACCAGATGGCTGTACTCTACAAAGAGTGGTACAAAACGTTGGAGCGGTAGGCTGTGAGTAGGTCACTCTAGCTGTGAGCTATAGCTAGAGCTCCCAGTTTTCTGAGTATATTTCAGATATATTCCCAATGCTCTGAAATTTAATTTTGAACAGCAAGTTGTTGAAATCTGGCCTTAGTAATAATTACTTAGTAATAATTGCAGCGCTGGGCCGCTGACCCGAAAGTCGTAGGTTCGAATCTCGGCTGCGGCGGCTGCATTTCCGATGGAGGCGGAAGTGTTGTAGGCCCTTGTGCTCAGATTTCGGTGCACGTTACAGAACCCCAGGTGGTCGAAATTTCTGGAGCACTCCACTACGGCGTCTCTCATAATCATATGGTGGTTTTGGGGCGTTAAACCCCACAAATCAATCAATCAATCAGTTGAATTACCCTGCATTGTTGCTCATAATTCTGTTTCTCCGTTGTTTCGTATTTTCTCCCTTGTTGTCTGTTTTGCACTGTCGATAAGCCTGTTCGTTTGCATGGATGTATAATCGGCAAGGTGTACTTTCGGGGGGCAGGAGCTAGTCAAGCTGTCTCTTAGTTTTTTTCTTCCAGCCTCCCTCAATGTCTTGATGAAAAATAAATGACATATTGTTTATAATTTTCTCAATACTCCAAAATCCTGGATGAAATGATACCTGACCACGACATATTGCGAACTATAGTAGGCTTGTTTTAGATGTCTATTTTATATGTCTGGGAGGTTGGACCACACAAAAATTCACATATTTTGCAGTTAGATGCACAAGCAAGCTAAGAGGGAGTGAGAATCATTATGCTGAGTTAGGGCAGATTTTCAACACGATAACAAGCAACGAAAGCGCGTGGAGAACGTATCAGAAAAATTACGAGACGTCAATGGAACAGCAGGTCAAATATTTAATAAAAATTTGACGCATAATCGTCCACATTGTTTTTGATAAACATGTACAAAATGATTTGACAATGACACAGGTTTGTTAACAACAGCAAAACTATGAACGAAAGCTGAAGAAACAGGGTGTCGGAAGAGCGTTGGATAACTAGATCGAGGACAATGGCGTAGTTCCATTGTCAACCGCTATTCGTTTAATAGCATCCTACACTTCACACCAACTGTAAAGGTACACAAAGAGTGAGAGTGAGGTCACGTGATACTTTCTCTTTCACATATTGTGTGATTCGCGAAGCATCTATCTGTTCATTGACGTCCATTGCATATCTTAGTCTGCACAGGAAGCCTATAGTTGCGTATGCCATGACCTGTACTTGGCGCTGCACAGGTACACGAGTGAGACTTACCCCACGATGAACAAGTACCCACGTATCATGTACGGGCACTGATAGTGATTATGGTAATAATATTGCCTAATATTACCATACTGGATATATGCTGTCAGTCTTGTCTTTGAAAAAAAAGAAAAAGGCCGATGACATGTTCTCTTTGAATATAGAAAATATTCCTCCTCCTTCGTTATTCACTACACACGCTGCCATCCATATGCAAATCAATAGGTCCAGTTAACATGTAGTAATGCACGGGACATTCTTGCAACATCGGCGCACGACATACCGTACGATTCGAATTCGTCCACATGCATGTGTAGAAACGTAGATCGAAATACAGCTGCACACAGCAAAATGTTATTCTCAAAGGCGCCTGTGCACAGGCCCTACGCAGTGTTATCAGTTGATGCAGGGATATGTATAAAATTACCCGCTACCTATCGAGTGCGTGATATTAAGCAAACTGTAATACTATCTGAACTGAGCAAGCTCGAGTGCTTTGGTTACGTGGAGCGTGTACCAATTCTGGCAATAGTCGCTCCTTGAAACATGTTACTTCCCACAGTCGCAATTCGGTGCAAGTGTTGCAGTCAGAGGCGTATTGAAGCAACAGTATAGACCCTTTCACTCTTTACGAACACAACTCCTTGATCACGTCCGGTTTCGTCCGCCAATGTACCTTATAGCATCGGTGGGCAAGCAGAGCTTTATAAAATAACCCGCTAATTTTCTGCAGTTTGCTTCGCTTATTTGTCACAATATTTTCAAATAAATGTCTTTTTGAGCTACATAAAAATTACAGGATATTCTCTTGAACTTTACGTACGTTTTAACTGAAAAACTACAGAGATATTTTCCTTACTCTTGAAAAAAAAGCTTGAAAACGTGGTGTCAATTTTTACGTTAGGAGGTAGTTATGAGGGGACCGGAAGTTTTTAGGGGTACAACGCTTGCGATGTTGAAACCATCTATATAGCCAAGCATTTTCTAACACGATTGCAAGAGGGGACCTAAAATGCTTATTTAGTGAACATTTGCATTCGCCACAGTTATTACAAATCGAATAATTGATGAGAACTAAGCGTTTCATTACTCCAAAGTACGAAAAACGCTGTAGAAAAAAAAAAGGAAGGTAAACGAAATAAGTGGAAAGATAGTCAAACTGCGCGTTGAAGTCGCTTGACATTCGGCTGCTATTTAGAGCTGACTCACGTTGGCATACGAACGTGACTCAAGCTTATTTCAATGTCTGGACTGCTTCTCAAGAGAGAGAGAGAGAGAGAGAGCGAGAGATAGCTTTGATTAGCGCAAATCAATTTCACGCGAAAAGCTGACGTTCAGGCAGTGTCCGACGGTCATTTCTAAAGCTTATTTCATTGGCCAGCGTCTGGTTCATCCTGGTTCATTGCGGTGCGTCAGTGAATCACTCAAGCCATTTTCCATTGATTCGTCTTATTGCTTTTATTTCAATCATTCAGTAACCTACTATCATTCTCCGGGCCTGATAGAAGCAGTTTATCTCCCCAACCTGAAGCCTTTTCAAACAGCATCAAACATGTACATATCTACATACATGCATAAGCCGAAATACTACACAAAATATTTAATACACACAGAGATCATTTATGAACCACGATACTAGCTAGCAAGTACGCAAAACGTATAGTTTCGGCATTTAGGCTGTCGGCGTCCTATACATGTGGTGCCATGGCTTCAATAACATGGGTAGTGATGAACAGTTTGCTCAGTCAACCGCGATAGTTTTTTTCACAAATGTGGTCTGGGTGGTCATCTCCAACAGTGTTGTAGCTCCTTGAGCCGGACAGCAGTTTCCGCATTAGCGAGGCTGAATTCATGCCTCGACATTAACTGACAGTACTTCTGCCACTGGCTTCGTCGGCGCAGGCGACACCATTCCTCAGGGCTCGCACCACCAGCGTTCCTTCCTCGGTCAGAACAGATGTAATCGAATCTTGTCGCACGTCGTCTGGCAGCGTGAAGCGATGGGTGTACTCCCGGCGGACGTAGTCTCCCTGTTCTTCCGGCGAGGGCTTCTCTAGGTGACCGGCGTGGACTTCGACGCAGTTACCCACAGTCTTCACGGTTATCTCCCCGGCGACGAAGCCCGCAACGTCAAATGAGCGGGAGAACTCCGGTAATGAGCGATGCTTGTCATCACAACTTGCCGCGCAGGCACCTGAGGCCTCATTCGAGTCGTTGCTGTGTACGTTGGGCAGCGCATCCTCTATGTCAGCCTTGTCTTCAACCAAGACCTTGTCTTCGCCGGGCGGTGGACAGTTCGCCTCATCAGGAGCACACGGCCCAGCTTTTTGTGGCTCGAAGGGCGCAAACACCTCGCTCAAGAACTGATCAATAAGCGGTGCAGTCACGGGAGGCAAGCCATCCATCACCCATGGGTTGGCCTCGGCGAAAGCGATCACATCGGCCAAACTCGGCACCACTGGATAAAGCAGCATTTCTGAGCCGACTTGCTACAGCAGAAAGGTGATCCAAAAAACAAGGCGCGGGAGAGACAACTTTCGCGTCGAAAGATGTGCTCGTAAAGTGAGATGTTCCGCGCGGAGCGCGTATTTATTGTAACGCGCATTGCCGCGTATTGCGCCAGAACCAGCCTATGAGTCGGCGTATCATAGTCGGCCGTCCTTCGAGAGCGTAACCTTTGTATGACTAATGCGCACGTGCGATCTGTTTTGCTTCGACGCATTTCTAGAAACATCTCGAATGCCGAAGACCTGGCGGAAACCTCCTCACGCTTCGCTGCGCACTCGGCGACCACTCTCCCCCACAACCCACACTTGCTGTTTTTCACTGGTAGATTCGGAGCAGGTTTTTTGCTCCGTGGCGACGAAACCGCATTTCACTGGTAGATTCAGAGTGGATCCGCGCTTTTCACTGGTAGTTTCAGAGCAGCTCGCTCCGAGGCGGATTGCTCGCACTGCTCCGCCGACAAGTCGCAGATTCGGGCGGAAACACGACGAGCAGCATACGTCACTTCCGTCGTTGTACGTTGCTGAGTTTTGCAAAATGGCTGCGTTCGCTGCCTTGGCGGAACTTCTGTCTAGCGACGAAAGCACTTCAAGCAGCAGCTCGTCCAGCTCAGACGACGAAGACTTCGAGGAAAGACAAGCGCTATGCGAAGCCTTCTTTCGGGAAACTTTTTCGGAGTCCCACCGCGAACGTCCCAAAATTTTGGGGTTCATCGAGAACGTTGCGCGGCTGTACACAGACGAGCAGGTAAGCGCGGAGCTCCCTCTTTTCATAATACTACATGAACCTAATTTCATCTTTTTATCATTTCCTTCTCTGCAGTTCCGTCAAGACTTCAGGGTGTCGAGGCGTGTCGCGGAAACGTTGATCCGTGGTTTTGAAGGCTCGCGTCACTACCCATGCAGTGATCGTGGTGGGTCCCCCTCGAAAACCGCGGAAGAGCACATTCTGGTCTTTCTGTGGTAAGTCTGCACGCTGTTTTAAAAGTCATGCCTACCAGTGTGTATAATCTTAATGCTTTCAAGTGCTTCGGCGTAGAAGTACGTTTTTTCGTTGCGTGCGCAGAATTTTGACGGGGAGTCCAACCATTATAAATTTTTGTTCGTGTGTTTATGTGCGCGTGTGTAGAGAATATACACATGTGAAATTTAACAATTTCGGCGGCGTTAAATCTCCCTAGTAGCCTTCCCGTGGCTACGCCGCTTGTGCTTTTTGTCCTTGAAAGTTGCTAAGTGTGATGCAATGGAAACCAATGAAATATGACCGCTTGCAACTGCACAGCCAGAGAGAACAGTGTTAAGAGCTTCTACTTTTCTTACGGCTGCTAATTTTGATGCAAATATTTCATGCCTTTATTTCACAAAGCAGGCTTTACTTGATCACTTTCTTCCATAATGTGTGTTTGCTGTGTCAGGTTTGCTGCAAACAAGGCGTGCCTGAGGGACGTTGCTGGACGCTTTGGCATGGCAACTGCGACAGCATTTAGAGTCGTGGAGCGCACGCTCGAATATTTCCTTGATATAGCCGAAGAGGTAATATCATTTCCAGGAGATCTTGATCAGCTGTCAGCGGACTTCGAACAAGTAAGAATTTTAGGTATTTCACTGTTCCATGGCAAACACAACAAATGAGTTGTCTAATTGAAGCTTACTTTAGAGAATAGTCACATAATACATTGATTGTAGCAGGTTAAGCTGCCGTTGGGGCACAGGGGATGTGGTACTAAGTTGCGCTTGAAAGATGGGGTTATTGTCAAGCAGTCTCACTATCAAATGAGAAATGCTAGAGAAACATGTATTGTTCATTTACAGTGCACATAAAAGCAGGGTGTCTGCCAACGTGGAAAAGTCAGGGAATTTCAAAAAAAACCAGGCCAGGTCATGAAAACTGACAGCAGTTCTGTGGGACCGTCACAAAAATAAGCATCGCCATTCATCAAAGCTTAAAAAGTCTCTCAGCTGCAACTACAGTGGGCTGCTGGAAGGTGTGTGAAAAAAAAAAAAGGACAGTGCATAACTCTTGCTTCTGAGTGTAAACGCGAAAGGGACCCATAGAACACAAAGTTTACTGACATTTCAGTACCTCATATGGGAGAGAGCCTTGTTTAAAAGTCATGAAAAAGGCACAGTGTACTTCAGTACGCCTAAATACGTGACGTAAGCAGAGAGAGTACATTGTCAGAAGCCTCCCATCACTCCTGTGCAGCGTATGTACAGTTGTCTGTATCTGGATTCGAGAGTTTTACAAGTCTATTTGGTGGTCTGTGATTCCGTGTGTTCAGGGAGGGCAGTCGAGGCCACGCCTCGTTTTGTGGTATCATATTTGTGTTGTTTAACTTTTACCAGTTTCACCGATGTACTGGTCACAATTATGTCAGACTATGGCATAAACTAGACTAAGGAAATTTCTGCTCGGCAACTTGTCCTTCACATTGGCTAAAGCATTCTTTAACATCCATGTTGGTATATCCACTCTTTTGGTGCCTGTTGCTTCTACATATCACACGGCATATCTGACTCACGTCTGTAGATTTATGCATGTTTTGTCTATGCCACGATTTCGGCCCGGCTTGAAGGCCGTCTGGTTTTTCTAGGCTAGAACTGCTATCAGCTGAAGCTTGCTGGGCTACTCATGTCTTTTAATAATAATAATAATAATAATAATAATAATAATAATAATATAATAATAATAATAATAATAATATTATTATTATTATTATTATTATTATTATTATTATTGGTGGTGCAACACCAAACGTCTTCAGCTACACACTTATGCTGGTAGCTCGTGTTTCAAGGGTAGAACTTGGGTAACTTCAGCTAAATTTTTCATTTCAGTTTTGTGAGATTGTGTAAATAAATCTGCAATTATTTTTCAGTGTCACGTCTACAGCAGAGTACGTAAATCAAGGTAACATGCGGACATTCATGATTCATCTATAGAATCAAGGAAACTGTTCCACCTTGACAAATTCATTCTCACCACCACATATTCAAATGTCAGCACTTTAAACGTTGACCCCAGCTTTCATTTCACTTCAAGTATGACAGCCCAGATAAATGCATGTGCTTGTCGTAAAAAAAAAAAACATTTTGCAGTATGGCTATGTTCTTGCAACGTTGTCGTTACTCGTTGTCAAGGCAAGATACATAGAATATGCGAGTAGTAGTTATTTACTTTTTTTGTTGAAAAGTATACTTTAGAGGTGTGCAAATTAGGCGGCGGCACAAATCAATAGTAAATACATCAATCTAGGTCGAATCAGTTCTAATCTAATCTACATATAAATAGGTGAGTCAGTAAATACAGTAGTTCAGGTCGATCTAATTAAATCCAATCCACATCCTAACCGGCGTGGGCTACAGCCATTATAGTAAAATAGATTTTACTCCAGTGGCAGAACCGGCCAGGCTCCTGTGTTTTCATTTTACACGAATGCCACCAAATGGCACCACTTCTAAGTTTCTCAGCAGCTTTGACTGCGATGTCAAACGATCGCAGACACCTTCAAACTTCATCTGCGGTTACTCTTAACTTGTGTGTTTTCTTCCTGGTTCTTCGGAACATCAAACAGCTGACTTGCTCACTGCCTAGCTCAGGGGTTTTATTTTGGCCAGATTTACATGTTTTTTCACAATTGTCGCATGCCCTGAGAACATTTTGAGTGCGTCTGGTAATTATGTTTACCTTTATAGAGCGCCCGGTTTTTTTTTTCTACTCGGGTTTGTTTGCAGTGTACAGTGTTTTCCATGCAAACGTGGCAGTCATGGAATTTGCTTTGAATCATGATGGAAAACCTGGGAAATTCAAGGAATTTAGAAATATGAAATTGGTAGACACCCTGAAAGGGACCCCTGGCACTTAAAATTTCTAATGCCTTTTGCTGTGGTGTTCCGTACAATGATTCCATAGTTCTGGCATGTAAAAGACTTGTGTCACCTAAAGTTAACTCCGCTAAGACCAACAAAACTACTGCATCAAGTGTTAAGATTATTTACTTCAAGAAGTTCACTACAGGTGTGTTCTTTTTCTCTCACTGTCACAGGTGTCAGGAGTGCCCAACACGATCGGTTGCATTGACGGATCCTACATAAGCATCCGCTGCCCTGCAAAAAAAGTGCGTTCAACCTATGTGAACAGGCACAGTTATCCGTCACTGACACTGCAAGCTCTGTGTGATCACAAAAAGAAGTTTCTCGATGTGACTACTGGACACCCCAGCAAGATTCACGATTCGAGAATCTTCAGGACATCGAGGCTTTCTTCAAAGTTGCCGCATGTGTGCTGTTCCGGGAAGTACCACGTTCTCGGGGACGCTGCCTACCCGCTTCGAGATTACCTCATAACCCCATTCAGGAATTATGGTCACCTTGACGCGAGGCAGCGCGCCTTCAATTATCACTTTTCGGCAACGAGAGTGAAGATTGAGAATGCCTTTGGAGACCTCAAGGCCAGGTTCCGCCAGCTGCTGCACCTGGACTTTCTGTTTGTAGACAAAATGAACAAGTTCATTATAGCTTGTTGTGTTTTGCACAATATGTGCATTAATTGTGGTGATGTGGATGTGCCGCCGTACATCGATGATGAACATGCACCGTGGGAATGGGAGGCACAACCGGATGATGTTCCCCCCAACAATGGCCCGCTTGCATCAACTGAAGATGCACTGCGTCGCCAAGGCGAGGAGAAGCGTGAGCGCTTAATGCAAGCGATGCGCATTTGATTTAAAGTTAGGACTGCCTACGTGTACACAAAACAAGAAACGTTAAGGTGTTGTAAATTTTGTTTCGTGTTGTAGAGATTTCTAGCAGAAAATAACACTAAAAGACGGGACGAAGCAAGGACACAAACTACGGCGCTGACTAACAAGCAAATTCGTTTTATTCTTCTAATCCGCGTATATATACTTTACCACAATCTCAAGGAAACAAAAAAAAAATAGAATCATGATAAATGCATGCCCCTCATTTCTGAAGCGTATCATTTACAACGGCGGCGAAACATGCATCAGTTTCCCTTATATTTCCCTCTCTCTGAAGGAGTTACCTCTCCTGTCTTATTGAGCATTTCTTTCCTCCTGAGTCAGCCAACATTTGTGTGTGTCTTTTTTTTGCTTTTTCTCACCCTTCAGATTAGTGGTGGAGTGTATATACCTAGACTGGAAGAATAAGACACATTTGGCTGTTAGTCAGTGCCATGGTTGTGTCTGTGCCATGGTTGTGTCCCTGCTTTGTCCCATCCTTTAGCACTGTTTTCTACAGGAAACACTGTACTAACCAGCTAAAATGCATGCCGCACTGTGTTGTAGTGACTCATCTTGCTAGGGCGCAGCCTGATTTTTTTGTTTCTTAGCTTTGTGACACGTAGCAGCTTCCACATAGCGTGAGTCAACCCAAGATGTTTGCAGGAATCTGACTGGATCAGTGTAATTGTTTCCTATGCGAAGCCATCAGCATGCTTATTGCTGACTAGTGCTAACGCCGCAGCGTGTTGGTCGGTATGGCTACTGCAGCTGAAGATAGCTGGTGATATTGATAGTAACTGCACTCTTCGTGCTGGTGAGACACGAGAAAGTGACAAAGTCAACCGGCCAAACATAGCTGGGCTCCAGCTCTCGTCAGCCACCACAAACATTCTGAGAAACATGTAGTGACATTGGCATAAGTCCAAGCTAGTGCAGGCTACACTGAGGAGCATTTGTGTTAATGGAACAATGTCACCAAAATTACGAGCTTGAAATGTTTGTGTTGTTTGTCTTGCAGTTGGGGCACTATGCTTGTCAGTTAAACCTGTCGCTTCGAGGAATATTCGTAATGAACACCCATCCCGACTCATTGTTTCCCACGCATGGTGCCCAAATTCAAAAGTGCGCTCTGAACGTCACAAAAGCCCGAGTCTACATAGTCTTATGACTCCTGAGATTGTTCGCTGTGTAATTTTTTGTGATTCCAGTAGTAGTTTTACAGTGATGCCAAAATTAGTCACAAGGAGCCATTCTTGCATTAATTACACAGTACATTGCAATATTTATGATCAAAGTTTGGGGACTACCGGACACAATGCTCTTAATTAAAGCATTCAAGTCAAAACAAAAATTTGTCAGGGGTCCTTTAGGCATGGTGACTGCTGCTGTGAGAAATGGCTTCTTTGTCATGCAATTTGGTTATTGCTTGTGCATTAACATTTCATTTGCCTGATGAAAATTTGCATGGACAAACGTTCTGCATTTCTTAGTCTTTGTTCAGCTTTTCTTACCATCAAAACGGCGTGAAATTATAATGATCATTGCAACTTTGTCTTGTAAAAGGGCCCTGGAACCCTTATTTCACCTCAACAACAAACATTGTCAATCTGTTATCAATGCGCCTGCCAACGTGCACATGTGTACAATGCTTACAATAAACATGCTTTTCACATTTTATTCATTTTTCTTCAAGTTGAAAATTTCACGGAGAAGATTCATCTTTTCTTTGTGCATTTCTTCTCGTCGCTGTGTTTTAGCAAGTCGTCGCTCTTCCCTCTTGCTGTCTCTTTCAGCCTTTCGCTCTGCTCGCCGTTCATCTAACTCCTTCATTTTTTCAAAGAAGGTTTGCAGGTGGAGCTCGCGTGCTGAATTCGGGCGTTTTCTTTTTGAATCAGGAGTGTCGTCCTGCCCAACGGAGCTGGATGGAGAGTGTGACGTTGACGAGCTTGAACCAGCAAGTGGAACAGACTCGGTGGATGACTGTGGACATGTCTTTTTTGATACCACTCCACTTGCGTCGCGTACCACTTCTGGTTCCAAGCTGTCGTCCAGCCACTTGATTTTTTCAAGCTCGGCCTCGTAGGGGACTTCTTGTGGGGAACAGCCAGACGTATTATTTTTCCCAGCTGCCACATTTTTTCTTTTCAGTACGGTTTTGTACCGAGAGCAGCACTGCTCACCAGTTCTCATTACACCCAGTTTATTATTAATGTCTGTTGCAATTTTTTCAAACATGGCCTTTTTGTTGCGAAATTTTTTCAGAGGGCCAACTTGAGGGAAATATGAGGCGTAGAGGTCCAGCAGCAGCTTCGTCTCGCCACTCGTCCACTCACACCCTGCAGCTGAAATATGCATTATACACACATAAAATACATATAAACTGGCATTAATAGACTTTTTTGATACAGGGCACGAAGCTATATGCTCTCTGAGCCATAGAACACTTACTGTAAAGCATTAGTACTGTCACACTGTTTTGGCACAGCAAATATTGGGTGCTGTGGGGATCGCTTTGCATATCAGAACAGACAATCATGCAAATTCATAATATTACTATACATAACTTATTCACAGCATAATTTTCTTAGAGAGTAAATTTGAAAACACTGCATAATAAATATGGGGCCTCTTCGTGCAGCTGACTATTCGTTGAATTCAATTTTATTATTTAAGCACCCAATATTGAGAAGCGTGAGCAAGAAGCCATTAAATGGTTTTGCGTAATTCGTGGTTTTTTTGAGAGGGTTTGCAATCTGCTGGACCTATCTTCATCCTAATGCCACTAGCATGTTTGTGTATGCATGCTTACCACGTGCAGGAGTCCCTGGCTGACAAGCCCGACTTGGTGACGCACCAGTAGACGCTGCAGAATCTGTGTTTGATAATTGAAAAGCATTGTAGTATGTTAATATGTGTTAATTTTAAGCAGGTACACAATTTTCTTCAAGTAGTCCTTACACGTTGCTCGTCAAGGCATTGTCCTCTACATATATAGACGACTGTATACAAAACTAGTTCTACAGAGACACATGTAGACCAATTTACCATTTCCTAAAAATGCGCCCTGTGTATGTGACAAAGCGTCGGTGGCGTCACACTGTGTAGCACCTTCAAATAGAGAAAAAGAAAAGACATTTGCGGGTTAACACCAAAAGAGTAGAGGTCAAGAATCACCAAGAAAACGTTACTTCTCTAGTAAATTTTTCATGCATGTATTCATGCGCGAATACAGAGATCGCCATGCATTTTTATTAAAGGTAATACAGCAGCTTGGTGAGCGCTGCGAAAATTCCGGCGCTTGTGATATTCTAAATAGTAGGACTGTAAGGTGTTGGGTAAGCAACTGCTCTGATTAAAAAAAAAAGCCTGCTCACAACATGCCGTATTTTTGCGAGCGCCGATTGCGGCCGTTACCACGTGTACCCGCATGCTTTACAATTATCTGACCAGTCTTCATGCGGAGCTATCAAAGTTAGCATTCCGTGCAGAGTTTATTATCAGCGTCAAGTACGTCGCACTTACCGTTCAGATCGTTGCCGCTGTTTCTGAAAACGCCCAGCAACAGCCGACGCACAGCCGGTGTCAATTCCGCGTGCTCGTCCATACTTGCTACACAACTGCTGTTCGCGACTGCGTTAAAGTGTTCTACAAAGCTTTAACTGCGTGGTCGAAATGCGCGCCCTGCAGTGGCGGCCAAAGTTGCCAAGGAAACGAAGAGAGCGGAAAAAGAAACTGTTTCCGGAACCGGTTTGCGTGACGTATGCATAATCAACTTCCGGGGCACCTCTCACGGAGCATTCTCGTGTTTCACTGGCAGAGGTGGCTTCGTGCGATCCGAGTGCTCGCTCCGGGATTTCGGCGGTCGCTCTGAATCTCCCAGTGAAAAACACGAGAAAGTGACAAAGTCAACCGGCCAAACATAGCTGGGCTCCAGCTCTCGTCAGCCACCACAAACATTCTGAGAAACATGTAGTGACATTGGCATAAGTCCAAGCTAGTGCAGGCTACACTGAGGAGCATTTGTGTTAATGGAACAATGTCACCAAAATTACGAGCTTGAAATGTTTGTGTTGTTTGTCTTGCAGTTGGGGCACTATGCTTGTCAGTTAAACCTGTCGCTTCGAGGAATATTCGTAATGAACACCCATCCCGACTCATTGTTTCCCACGCATGGTGCCCAAATTCAAAAAGTGCGCTCTGAACGTCACAAAAGCCCGAGTCTACATAGTCTTATGACTCCTGAGATTGTTCGCTGTGTAATTTTTTGTGATTCCAGTAGTAGTTTTACAGTTTCTTCCTCCATGCGGCTGGACATAGCGCGCCATCTGTTGAACGTAGCAATAACTACATCCGGTCTAATATTGTTCGTTGAAACCACGACCGGCTTTAGTGGTTGAAACCGACCTGAAACAAGAAAGGCGGCGTGTGTTTTGTTATAAACTAGCTCGCGCGGAGCGTAGGCAAACGGCATTACTAAGCCACAACGCACAGATATTCAGCGAGTGATGCGCTTTCGCTGTTCTACTTCCGAAGGCTTTGTAAACATCTCAAACAAGGCTAGGAAGCTCGCAGAGAACATCGGAGATCATTCTGGAACATTCGAAAGCGCGAGAGCCAATGGGAGTGCTCGCACCACTGCGGAAACTGGCCGCTTCTCTCCGATTGGTCGGAGACTTCAGATGACGTTTTGGATGCTTCTAGAACAGCGCGGGAACAGTATTAAAGGCCGCGACACGTAGGACGCTGCGGCGTCGACGTGGGATCGTCGGTAAGCAGGTCTGCGCTGCTGTCGAAGGCTGGCAAGATGGAGAGACCGCTTCGGCGCTGCCCGTTGACGCTGGTCCAATGTGTCCTTTTGAGCCGTGGGAAGCCGGATCTCAGAAGCGAGCATCACGGAGGCGTCACTTGAAATGAGGCAGTCTTTTAATATGGGCCAGTTTCATTTCCGATACGGCGGCTTTATCGGCTCCCTCCGGCAGGTTCCACCGTGACGACGAAATCATGGTAAGTTTATTTTCAGTTATCGCTATTGTTAGTGTGTTAAAAGTAAAATTTCTTTGGAAAACTTCAACTAGCGCACTGAAATGTCTTCGCGGCGCACATTTAAACGTAAATGACACTGAAACGCTGCGTGTTTTGTAGCATTTCGGATAGAGCAGTAAACTTTAAATAGTTTATCTCGCGCTTGGTTTTGTACGTTTCCTTGTGTTCGAGACCTTGTCTACTTGGAAACTTCGCGTATTGAAAATCTCTTGTACAAAGCAGCGCAACTGTTCGTACACAGCGTTGATAGCGACCATGTTCCAGATTTGCACATTTTTCTGTATGCAGGATGTATCTCCCCCGGTGATGAGAAGATCATTATCAGCGCCGAGTCGCCGCCGATAGCGGCGCGGCATGTGCATTGGAGGAGAGGCACGTAGTGCGGGCGATAACGGATGGCGCAGGTTGTGTGCGCACTCGCTTATCTGAGGTTGTAGGCTTCATCTTAGGTTGTGCAGGCTGAAATATAGCAAGATGAGTCAACAACGTAACTGAGGTACGTATGCCGTTCACGAAAAAAAAAAAAGAGTGAACGCAGTTGCCCAATATAAGAAAGCCCAACAATAAAAACAAATTTGTAAGCGATCGAGTTCTATTTATTGTGCTATGTCTTAGGAGGGCCACATACATGGAGGTTGGAATTTATTTCGTCGTGTCAGCGTCAGTATAAGATGCTATTCGCAAGGGAAAGATTACTCTCTTTATCTCTACTGACTTCTAATAGGGTCACTTGATCGACCAACGCTCGAGCAGTTTTTTTTTTTTTTTCCATGATGTCGGTAAGCTTGGAAATGTCCCCAAACGTGGCCCAAATCGTCATTTACTCACTCGTGAAACGATAGCTGTTGAAATTTGGATCCACACTGTAAGGATAACGTCTCTGGATACTTGAAGTAAACTATTGGCTAGCTTCAGTTTTAAATTTATCTTTTAAGAAGTAAAAATATTATTTTAGTGGGTGAAGGGCCTCTTTTCTTGCTTTATATCGGAACAAATCCCCACGATCGTTGGCTTGAGGAGTTGTGAAAATAAAGAAAAACCGTACGGTTTTGTAACATTGTTTTCTGTGAAATATTTCTATGAATCGATAGGGACGATCCCATATTCAATATATTCAGCCATATTACGTTGTCATGGTTCGATCTTTGTTGCCTTATACAAGGCTACTTGCGCGATGAATCGAAAACTCCGTTGTGTTCAAGCATCAATTGGACAAAGAAAAAATAAATCCGACTTCACTTGTTAGTCAATTCATACTATAAAAGCTGTCTGCGTCTTCGCGTGACCACTTCTGAGGTACATGCAAGTCATCAATCTTGAAACACGAAAAAATATACATCAGTGACATACAAGGTTCGGAATTCTCCTTTACATGACGCCTCCACATTGTCACAGCGCTTGTAGTCTATCATAATTTATCCGAGAAATGTAGTATCTCTGAGAAGGCATATAAGCCATCATTGTGTTGTGTCATTTATTCTTGTTCCGTAACTGAAAGTATTGGGAGATGCCGCCCGCAAGAATTCTCATCAAAACCAGCGACCTCAGATGCTGCTTGGGTAGGCGTTTGATGTCAGCATTATGTGGAAGTTGCAAGTGAGCAACAATGTATTGATAGAGAAGTTGGCCAGTGCTTTGACCGGCCGGCAACCTTATGCTAGGGTAAAAGGCTGGGGCGGAATGGAACAAAAGTAGAGGGGGACACTATACTTGCACTTATCTATAGTCTCGTAACACCAGTCATAAAAGATAAAACGATTATTCACTACTGTGTTCTGCAGATTTAAGCGCCCGAGTTCCCATCTTTATCGAGATCGAGGAGCGATTCAGAAAAAAAAAAAATTGAGGTATAGTCCCGCAAATTTTTTGTTTACATAATCGATCACAAATACCAGCACTGCAGAGGCTGGTATTTCATGAGTTTTTTCCGCTAGAACGTCCTACCACGTATGCTTAGAGAACTTTTTTTGAATTCCCGTGAGGTCAGACTCTCTAACTTTCATTGGCGAAAATTTAGACTTGTTATTAGGTGGTAACTTCAATTTGCTCCGTGAAAAGGGGGAGTGTAAATCAGACAACCGGGAAAGGCGTCTATGTAACTATTGTGCAGCAGATATTTTTTTTTTGTTGAGATTTTGGTGTGGTAACATTGCTCCGAAGGTGATTGAAGTTATTAAATGCTGCATATCAGAGCTATATTCTTATTGTCTGGGCAGACGGTGGATATAGAGACGACCGTCAATCATTTTTTACTGGTGCCTGAGGACACGTGTCAGCCGCGTGGTCTATTCTGTGGGGAAGAAGATTAGCTCTGTTTTATAACTGCAGATTTTTACATTATTCGCGGGCAACTGCGAGTTCATTCAAGGTTATCAATCAAAAGTTGGTACTATACTCACGCTGTCTTGTGACGCTTCGAGAAGTTCAAATGTGAGCTGCAGGTACACCGCGACTGTAGCTGTGGAAAATCGGTGGAAATATCTGTGAACGACAGCAAGTAGAGAGGAAGTGGCTCATTCATAACTGCAGCAGATATCGCTTGTTTAGAGAAAAATACAAATGAACAATATTTGAGGCAAAAGGCAGTTACAACGGTGGGCACTGAAAATATAAGTATATAATCACATGCATGCGTTATTTCGCCTTGTATTAAACATAAATAAACGATTTCTCGTAGCCGTAGTGTTAATAGCCGAACAAATTGCAGTCTCTAGACGTGATTGCCTGAGTTAAAGAGACGAAATGATCGACCTGTCTTAACACGTCGATGACATGTCACGGTAAAAATTGTGGAGAAAATCTCGTTACCATAATTATCTTTCGTTGCTTAATTGTTATCAGCTGGTGTCCCTCTCGCACTGCACTCGCCACTAAAAGTGAGTCCGTCGTTTTGAAATGCCATACCATATTAAGAAGCGCATTTTCGGTGATATTCTGCGGCGCCCCATCTTTGAAGCAGTGTCCCGCTAGCCTAATCGCAACACAAAATGTTCCCCTTGTGTTTTGAGCTGCATATGTTAGTAGCAAGCGACAAGATATACAAGAAATTGCTAATTTTTTCCTAAGAAAGGTTAATAATAAATAGAATTCACGCATTAATAAGGATTCATGAATCTCCGTGAGGGCCATGCTATGCTGTCTCTGACAGTAAGACAAAATTTCAAAAATGTTTGATGGCCTCGGACGTAACGGGTGATTAACACACAACTACTGGATCATTTGAATGTAAAGGTCAATGATGTTATCGCACGAAGCAGCCGTTAAACTTCAGGAGTCATGGATTTGGGTATGCTGACGTGTTTTTCAACATTCGCGCAGCAGCTTCTCTGGCAATGTCTTCAATAGGTTACTTCAAGATCACTTGAACAAACTTTGCAGAAGCATTGTGGCAACCTACGCTTCAGAATCTGAGAAAAGGCTAGAGTTGGAATATTTTCGTCGTCACTAGGAGGGTCTTGTTCTGTTCGACCACCGAATGCACTCACATGTTTATGACTCCGGCTGTTGCAGTAATTTTGTCGTTCCTCGATTATTGCCGATGTGATAAATCGAATCTTTATCGTTGCGCTCTTCTTTCCTGGTCCTACTCAATCTGAATCACTCAAAACTTTCACGTACTGGCTGCAATTGATTTGAACGAATTGAATTCGTACAGGTACTTAGACCCAAATATATATTTTTTAAGTGGTGTGGCAGCCACGCTTTCCTTGTAAGCCCCGTATTTTCTGTGCTTCCATCGCTTTTATTATTGCGGTCAGGCTTAGAAGGCGCAAAACTTTAACTGCAATATCTGTTCTCGTATCTTCCTCTGACTTACAAAACTTTCCGATTCGCTTGGAGGAAAAGGCCATGTGAAGCGCGAAAAATAGAATGCAGTCACAGTGGCGAGACTGTCAATGCCGAATCTTAGCTCTAAAAGTGTGGCAGCTTGGGCTAGTTGGTATGACATGATGATAGTTATAGTGCGAGAACAGAGCAAACACACAGATACAAGGACACGAAAGACACGAGTGCTTGTGTCCTTCGTGTCCTTCTTGTCCGTGTGTGTTCGTTCTGTTCTCGCGCTATAACTATCATCTTAGCACAAAAACTATTACACCAATGTGGCCTATTCTTTTGCGCATATTTTACAAAGAACTGTGAACAACGGCCTAGTACATATTTACTTGTTTGACCTATCGAAGTTCCTCTGTGCTAGCATTTACCGTGGTTGTGTGGGCTGCCGTTTAGTTCTATTGCCGTCTTTCGGAATCAGTTCGCCAGTCACGGTCACTATGAGGGGATGTGCCATATTATGGTGGCCTTATAAATGTATATAGAAGTTGAGAGCATAGGCTTAACCCGTCACAATGGCCTACTAGTTATGGTGCTAGACTTTTTACCGCAGGTCGCGGGTTTGAATCCCGGCGGCTGCGGCCGCATAGAGGAGACAATGAGGCCCGTGTGCTTAGATTCAGGCGCCCGTTAAAGAATCCTATAGTTCGTCGAAATTTGCCGAACCCTCCACTTAGGCGTCCTTCATAATCATATCGTGGTTTGGGGGTGTTAAATCCCCCCGAATTATCGTCAGAGCATAGGCGTGCTCATGCAGGTTTTTCCAATGGAGGGGACGAAGTTTCACACCGTAGCACTCCCTACACCTCCCGATTGGTCGTGTCCGATAGAAAACAAGCTTCGCCATGAAAGCAAAAAAAAAAAAAGCAAAAGAAGCGAGGATGTACTTCTCACTACAGCCTGGCTTTGGTTCCTGGGTTAGATTCTGTTTCGAACCCTTTTTTTTTAACAGCCTGGCTTTAGTTCCTGGGTTAGATTCTCTCTCGAACCTTTTTTTTTTTACTTTTGTTATGGAAGATCACGCTCTGATGTGCACGCAAGTTTCCGTACCGTACGTCACATGTTTCAAGGCTTGCGTCTAATGAGCCACTTAAAAAAAATTCGCCTTAATGACAGGCCCAACATGGAACCTTCATCAACACCGGGACCATTTAGGAGCATCTATGAAGACGCCCTATTGAAAAGAAAATGTATGTTGGTTCCTAGATGTATGCGGCTGGAGGCACTTACAAATCTTACTACATTTGTGACGGATCCGATTTCAAGAATTTAAGAACGCCTTGGTGGTCACAAATATACGGAGCCACGTTTATACACGGAAAATGAAGTTGTGCGACAGTGGAAAACCACGCCTGACGCCGTCCATCGAATGTGATAAAACTGCGTTAACGTCCAAGATGTCAATATTATGCCAGTATTTCACATGTGCAAGTCGGTGCAATGGTCTTACGGTTTCTACTCCCTCTCTCGGTTTAGTTCAGTATACCGCAGTCTGGTTTTCAAGTTAAATTGCAAGCATCAATCTGAAAGATCACACGAAATAGCGAGTACAGTATGTAATTTATTCAGCAAAGACGTAAAGCAGGCATCACCACAAATCACTCGGGAACTTTGTCATTTTCGTGAGAAGTTGCAGGCAATCCGTGTACATGGCACTCTATACATTCCAGGGCCCATGCTCAAACGTGGAGCTGTCCAAAAGACGGTTTGAAGAGACCATTTGTATTAAAGGGAGTCGCTGTACGCCATTTA